CGCTAGAAGTGACGACATTTTCTAGCGGTTTCAAACCCCCAAAATGTTCAATCCCTTTTATTTATGCCTTTCCTTTTATTGGCTAGCCGTATCACAATAGGTGACCAATTAGATTAAATTAAAAAATAAAAGAGAACTAATAAAAATAATTTAAATAAAATAATATAAAAACAATTTCCTTTGTTAAAAAAATATGAACCAAATTGAAATGCATTTTTACATCCGCATTCAACCCACGCATTCCTTTTACACGAAACCCGCTATACGATTTCACATAAGCAAAATGAAAATCGATTTGTGAAAAGTGATCGTTCGTTTTTCCCTTTGTTGAATTTAGGATTCTTATTCGATGCGATCCCGAGCTCGTAGATCGACCTGAAGCTTCCGTTTCAAGGATTTTTTTTAATCATTCTTTTTCCTAGCTACCGGGTTAGATTATGTTTTGTAATGCTCGCTTTGTAATTTTCTTAATCATGCGGATTTGTACGAAGGATACACAAGTAGGGTTCGTGTTGTAATTTATTTATTGAATTATTCATATGAAGGAATTGTGTTGTACCAGGTGAGTCCTATTTCGGTTTTCTGGATTGAGTTTGTGGAACATGCTTTGGCTTTGGTAGGTTGAGCTACGGGATTTTGACTTGGTTTTGGAATTTTGATGTAGTAGGTTTATTTGGTTGGTGATGGTGTTTTGAGTAAGTGGTGGCAACTATTTTTGAAAAAGTTGTACGAATCAAAACTCAAGGTATTTAAAGTGTTCCCTTATCAGTTTCGCAGTGAAACTCAGGATTATGTTTAATAAATGGTTTATTTTATACAAGATGCAGAGGTTCTTATTCCAATATTACCATTCCTATCAAATGATGAGGTTCTCCCTATTTTTCTTTTAATTGGATGTAAATTTTGTTGTTGCCTTTTTTTTATTAAAATCATGATTTGTATATCAAGAAAAGAATTAAGTCATTGGATTTGACTTAAATAAGACGTTTTTATCCATAGGTATTTCTTTTTAATTTTACTTTCTTGTTATCTTGAATGACATTGTTCTTCATTTGGTGAACATGTTTTAACAATTCTTTTGATAGGTAATGCCAATTTTCCCTCATATTGTAAATCTTCCTTTGGAGAAGTTCCAAGCAGCACTTGGTCGCATATTGCAGGTATCATTTGTTCCTTTACAGTCAATTAAGTGATATGCACCATGTGATGCCAGATAATTTGCTACAGTATAATTCACCAGTTATGCTATTCCAAGGTAAAAGTGGCATTCAATTATGGTAATGAAGAAACATTGTACTAGGGGGACTATAAGATGTTTCCAGTTGAAGTAACAATGAAAACTATTACAGCTTTAGGCACAATAATGGCTTTAGTTCTAATAATTACTGTTTTTGATTAAATTCTCATGATTCAAGGAACAATACCTCATTTATTAGGATTATCCCTGTGTTTATGAAATTTAGCACTTGTATTTTAGTGTTAACTTCCATGATCAGCAAAGTTAGTGGAAAAGACACACCACAGTATTTTAATTAAAAAAATAGTTCTGACCTGTTGCGTACATTTTGGTAATTGAATTAATTGCAGAGTTCTTTTACAGGGATCATCACAATCTAGTCCGGTGCTTACTCCTGCTGAAATTTTAATTGCAATTCATGGAATTGATCCTGAAAGGGACGGAATTCCCTTGAAAAAGGTAGGTATCTAATAATGATAGATTTTATGCATCAGGATTGTTAAAATATGAAGACACATTTTGCAGTTGCACAACTAAGGTGTTATATACAGGTCACAGACGCTTGCAATGCTTGCTTTGAGCTGCCGCAAACTTTTACTCAAGAAGTTATTGCCAGAGTTTTGAATCAGTTGGTGTGTTATGTGGAATTTTTATTGTGTGCCTTAATTGAGGAATCCAACTTGTAGTTGATTGTTTACAGCTTACAAATATAGCTCTAGTTTTGAAGCCCCACATATATATTCATCGAAACTGCCATTTGTCTTTTCTCTATTGCCCTGTTAATATTCTACCTTCAATTTAGATAATTATTTTCCGACTGAAAAGATTCTAACATGCTACCATCATTCCTTGTTATCCGTTTCTATTGAATCGGATATTCTGATCTATTTGTACTAAGTGGTGGCAACTATTTTTGTATCGTCTACTCATTAATAAAAGAGGAGTTCTTGTATGAAAAAAGTATCAGGAAACACAATAACTAATCCAAAGCTAAGATAATATTAAAAGAAAAAGTGAGAAAAAATAGGTTATCTAGTTTAAATAATCTTGTTATTCTGCTTTTGACTATTCTCTTGTTATTTTTAGTCATCATTTTCACTTCCGAATGTAAATTTTATGTCTTCCATAATGCTAAATTTTGTTTGGTGGTTGCATCATATTTACTTCAGTATGTAGAAAAAAAAAAACTTTAGATTTTTCAAGTAGTGTGAAGAATCTTCAACTTTCTGCATGCTTGTTTTTATCCTCTAGTAGATGACTTGTTTAAGCATTGTGTAAAAAAGGAAAAAAAACCATTTGTGGCGGTTTAAAACCGTCAGAAATATTGTATTAGGCATAATTAAAATGAATTTTGTGACGGTTTTAAACCGCCAGAAAATGTCAAACAAGTCAAACAAAACTACAATTGTAGCCTTTTTAAATTGGTATTAAAATGCATTTTGTGGCAGTTTTAGACCGCCACAAACAGATTGAATTTTCTGACGCTCACAACCAGCGTTTTCAAACGGTTTTTGGCGACCGTAGATCCGGCGGTTATTAATGACGCCGGTAATGCAATTTGTGGCATTTTTAACCGCCAGAAACCACCAAAATAACCGCCACAAATAACACATTTTTTTTAGTGACTAATATTCAAATAACAAAAACACTTTATTCGACAAAAAAAACAATCCTTTTTTACGGATATCATGCAACTCATTCAAATAAAATGTCATGTATTCAAATAAAGTGGATTCATTCGAATAAAAAAACCATATATTTGCATAAATGTGCTCCCATATATTCAAACAAAATAAGATTTTTTACTCATAAAGTGGTTTCATTTAAATAAGAAATCATGTATTCGAATAAAATGCTTCATAGAAACAATGAGGGACAAAAAATGTAAAAATAAATGTGTATCAAATTTTTTTTACTATTTTCCCTTTTTTTTAGATAAATTTAAAGATATAGATCTTACGTCTATAAATTTCTCCTTTGATACATTTCGTACGAAACAAATTGCATAACTTATTTTTTCACACACATTTCTTTGCTCTCCATTATATTTTGACGTTTGCGTTTCTATCAAACCAAACACAATGTTAAATTAAGTATAAAAATTATTAAATTAAATATTATTTTTCTTAACAAAGTTTATTCTCTATACACAACTAGGATTAAATTTTAAATGGCATATATACTTAAAAGATTTATCTATTTATAAAATCTGTGTTATACTTTGTTAATATATTATTTAGGTTTAAATACTATCCTATAATTTTATAAATTTTATTTTTTAATCCTTATAACAAATAAATAATAAAAACTATAAAAAAATATTTGTATAGCTAAGGACTAAGTTAGAACGATTTTATTTATAAGAAATAAAATGTAAAATTTATGAAATTATATGAACTAAATGAATATTTAAACCTATTATCTAAATAGATGATGATACTACATTATAAAAATGGTAATGAATTGTTTGATAATCATCAACTACTACCTAGAAAAATAAATGTCATCATCCTAAGTATCGTTCATTGCATGCGATCGATATGCATGTATATGAGCACGCTTATGCTGGCCTTTTGTTTTATTACTCTTATTTGGTAATTAGTTAACCATAAGAAACTCAAAGATGAAATAGAAAAATGAGATGTCCTCATCCTTAATATTGTTCATTGCATGAGATTGATGCATTCATGTATAGAGGAGCACATTTAAGCTGGCTTTTTCGTTTTATTATTCTTATTTGGCAACGAGAGGAAACTTGTAGCGATAGAATTTGAAAGTGATCATACGACAAGAACAAAAATAAAATAGAATAACTAATCGAAATACAAAGAATAAATTGACCAATGACCTCATTGTGATGGATACGCTAATATAAAGATTAGACAGCAGCCAGCAACAAGAGGGGCCATAAATGACACAGCACAAGCCATCGCTTGAGGGTGCATGAATTTGGCGGCCCTTAATTTTATTTTTGGAAACTCATGCAATATTATAAAGCCTATCTCACTCACGTTTGTCATTTCCTTTTTTCTCCCTTCGATTCTTATAAGAAACATGAATCTTAGTATACGTTATGTTATCTACCTTTTAACGACAACCCTAATACCTAATATCTACATTTGGTACATCAATTAATAATTTGAATCTGTTTATGTCCACTTGCTTTGTTTATTGGATTTGTGCAATTCATTTTAGTTAAAGACGCCTTTCATATAAAGAGGAAATGTAACCGATACAGTTTTCATGTAAGTATTCTTAAATAGAGCTTAAATAAATAAATAATTAATTATATATACATAATTCATAATTATGCTAAGAAAGATAAACTTTACTTCAATAATGTCTACATTTTAAAAGAAAACAGTCTTTAATAATCCTTTCTTCCATCTCTCTCTATATATAATGATAATAGTTATATTTTGAACATTAATATACATGTGAAAATAACCTAAATATTTTAAGATATATATTTAATTAATTAGCATTCAAGTGCATACAATAAATAGTACATCTAGACTGTGTTTGGTAAAAAAAATAGTTGATAAGCTAATTGAAAATTGAAAAAGTTAACCGAAACATGTTGATTAAAAATCAAAGACTTTTAACTTTAATTAAATTATAAATATTTGACAAATTTTAATATTTTACTATTGAAAAAGCTATAACAAAAATAAAATAATATAAACAGAACATATAATCTCTCTCCCACTATATCTCTCTCTATATATATAGATATAGAGGGAGAGAGAGAATTTTTTTAAGATAATTATGGCACTTTAAGGTATTATTTAATTTTGGATCCTTTGTGACCAAATATTTTAATAAAATTAAAGATCAAGAATATGATTATAAATAGTGTAATAATAAAATACGCCATATATAATTATTTTTTATTAAAGCACCGAGATAAAACTAAAAATTAATAAATTATAAATTCAAATGCTTCTTCAAGTAGCATATATAAAGTACTATAATTAGTTAATGAAAATAATAAGCTCACATAAAATTAATGAAAAATGTTATAAATTAGCGAGCGAAATAAGATTATTTATCGAGTACTTTTATTTCAATTTGTTAAATGAATCTTATAATTGAAATGAATGTTTCAAATTTATATATTATTTATTCTCATCAACAAAACTATCATTGTGTTTTCTACTTGTAACTGGCAAAAAATGAAAACATGCATATGCATAGAAGTTCCTAGAAGATAGTAAACACTGCCATCCACGCGCTATACACTATATCTCCTTCCTCCTTCCCATATCCAAAGGATCATATTGAAATAGCACCGTTTGCAAAGTTAATTAATTAAACCAAAATTAATAAATCTAAAGACAATTATATGAGGTCGTTTAACTAGATGCTCATTGGATGAGAAATATTTACTTTTGTGCACTCATATCTAACAAAGATTATTTATTATTTTTAACGATAAATACTTCACACTAATTCTATTGTCTTTAACACTCTTTTGTAATGTTTTGTTCTCAATTATGGTAGAGGCAAAAAGCATTATCATAAAGCAAAAGGCGTGCCATTAAAGAGGTTTATCGAATGTGTGAAGTAAAAAGTATTGGTGGCACTATAATTAATAAAGGGATCAATTAACGTGTCTCAACTCGTGATCATCAAGTACAAGACATGCATTCAGAGATTTCGGAAAATGTTTTCCACTTAAATCATGATCATCTTACTCAGTCACTAGATCTCATTTACCTGTCCCTCTCTTCGTGTCTTTTTCTCTTGTGATAATACAAATTTAGTGTTATTTTTCTATTAAGATGATAGAGAAGGAGACATAAAATCTAGACAATTTCCTACTAAATTTCTCGTCAGTAACATATACGATGATGACCCACTCAACATCGATCACTAGCATAATATCTTTTTATTCGCAGGACGTAGTTATATATGTTTATCTTGATTGTTGGGAATTATGATCTTTATGAAAAGATTCTTAATAATGTAATCAAGACATTTTTTTTTTTATTGTTTAGAACTCTGTCATTTTCATGGAAATCAACGAAACATAATATACATCATAATTTTTTTTAGAGAAAAAATATCATAACTTTATAATACTTAAAAACTAAAAGTAAAACATCATTTTATATAATAATCACAATCTGCTTAGGTGTAAGTTTTAATAATATATAATTAATGAATACTCATTAATTAACAATATAACTATTTTACATTTAGAATTACAAAGAAAATGATAAGTACTTTAGAATTATTTTTAGAAAAAATCAAATTGATATGATACTAAGCATTTTTTTACCTGTTGTGAACTCATTTATGGCCAATTTATGCTGATTTCAATTGTCCCAATCTTTTAATCCATTTTTCTCGATACCAATTCAGTGATTTATTAATTTGAACCAAAACATCACACTAGTTCACCGATTTTTGGTTGGCCTAAGACAAACAATATCCCATATTTATCTTGGCATATATCTAAAAGTGTTTTATTATTATATCAACATGTTGTAAGTTTACTAGAAATTAGGTTCGACTTTGATCTGTAAAAAAAAAGTGATTACAAGAAAAAGTTCCACTAAAAATATCATTTAGTTTTTTTTTTTTAGTAAAAATGAATTATATGTAAAATTAATAGATACTTCATTCTAATAACAGTGTTTAATTTGAAAAAAAAAATAGGTATTTTGTTATACTTACATTCTTATAATTTATTTTATATCAAATAAAAAAACTGAATTTTACTTACACATACTTTGAGTTATTTGTATATTTAATTCTATTATTTAAATATAAAAAATTTAATATCATAGTCAATATTATATAATTATTTTATTTTTATTTGATTTT